CATAAAGTGCAAATGGAGACACAGTGAGTGCAGGGCAACAGGTATGTAATTTCCTCCTTTCTCCCTGCTTCGATAGATCAAATCCTTTACTAAACTGGGGTGAAAAGGAGAGCAGAGCAGCAGCTAGGACAGTGGGTTTTGGTAGTGTGCTGGAAGTCAGGGGACTTGGGTTCTTTTCCTTACTCCCCTACAGATATGCTGAGTGACATTCTGTGCCTTAAGTTTCCTCCTGTGTAAAATGTGTGTATTTACACACAAGGATGCTTTCCAAATTGGTTCTGGAGACTAAATATTTAGACAAATTGGTAGTGTTTCAGGAAGGTGTATTTGCGAGTGACACAGTCCCTGTGTACTTGCCAACAGTATTCCCATCCCTTTTTACTTTCTGTTTCGTTTCCCGTTTTCTACCATTTCATTACTGTTGCAAAAACAACCCCTGCTTGTAGGAAGCAGCGCAGGTACCAGAGAAGCAGCCAGAGGCACGTAACTGTTTCTTTCCCTCAGCTGCTTCTCTTCGGTCTTCTGTTTTGCAGCTTCATTTGCTCTGGCGTTACTGGGGGACAGTGGAAGGACTTCCAGCTCTTATAGATTAATAAGTCACTTGTATGTTCCCACAGTCTGCTTCTGTGGCAGTGAAAGTGAAAGCTGGCTGTGAAGAATTGCAGAAGGACTTTGTGACAGTGAATGATTTGACTATAAAATAGGTGAAAATACGGCATTGAGTAAGTGGAAAATGATGCATGTGTCAGAGCAACAATCATGACGCTGATGCCCTGCATGCTATCTGATACCACTTAGGAAAGAGATCTGGGGGACTACAATATGTAGTTCTACGAAAGTGTCAGGTCCATGCTTAGAAGCAGTGTAAAATGTGATTGAAATATTAAGAATTACTAAGAAAAGAAGAGAAAATTATGGAGCGTGATTGTGAATTTTTATCATAAATGTGTCCTAGTTTAGGCTGGGATAGAGTTGACTTTCATACTGGTGGCTGGTAGAGTGCTGTGGTTTGGATGTGGGATGAGAATAGTGTTGATAGCACACTCATGGTTTTGGTTGTTGCTAAGAAGTCAAGTCCTTTTCTGTTCCTCACACTGCCCTGCCAGCGAGCGGGCTGGGAGGGCACAAGTAGTTGGGAGGAGACACAGCCAGGACAGCTGACCCCAACTGACCAAAGGGATATTCCATACCATATGATGTCATACTCGGCATATAAAGCTGGCAGAAGAAGAACGAAGGAGGGGATGTTCAGAGTTATGGCGTTTGTGTTCCCAGGTAACCGTTATGTGTGATGGAGCCCTGCGTTCCTGGAGATGGCTGAACACCTGCCTCCTGCCAATGGGAAGCAGTGAATGAATTCTTTGTTTTGCTTTGCTTGCATGCACCACTTTTGGTTTACTTATTAAACTGTCTTTATCTAAGCCCATGAATTTTCTCACTCCTACTCTTCTAATTCTATCTCCCATCCCACTAAGAGGGGAGTGAGCCAGTGGCTGCGTGGTTCTGGTTGCTGGTTAGGGTTAAACAACAACAAAATGGTAGCCTGCCCTTTTGAAGGTTGTTTGCTCCTCTTGGAACATAGCAGGAGTAGAGAACAGATTGAGAAGTGATGATCAAAGACGTGGAGCAGCTTTTGTACAATGAACATCTAAATAGTTTCAGATTCTTCAACTTGAAAAAGAGACAGAATAAGTGAAAGAATAACAGTTCTATGGTGTCACGAGTGTTACTGGAGGAGCTGAGTAAGGAACAACAATTTCTTGCCTTTTCAGACAGATCTTGGGGTGTCAAATGGAATCCATGAGCAGCAGGCTTAAGACCTGCAAAAGCAAAGGGTTGTTTAGGTGAAATGTAATTAAATTATGGAACTGGAACCATGCTCTTAAGACTCTCCCTTCTCGCTTGAGAGCAGCCAGCGGGATCCATTGCCCCATTTAGCTCAATATCCTCTCCCTGTCAGTAGTCTGTAGCAGAAAGCTGGAAGAGAGTGCAGGACTGAAGCAATGCTCCTGTGGTAGACAGGATACTAATCTAAACAGGGCTGCAGGTGCAGACTGGCTGCTTCTGTAGTGGGGAATGGCCAAGAGCTGTCCCTTCCACTGCTTCAGGGTTCCTGCAAAGGCACTGGAGTAACCCCAAGGCTGACCTTGACTGAGTGTCCTTTGTTCTCCTGCAGCACCAGGATTTCTCCTGAGCCTGTAAGAACACCAGGGACTGTAGACTCTACCTTTAGCTTCTTCCTCACGAAATTCCCAGAGCCCCCAGAGCTGGATCCTCTGACTGGGCCTGAGCAGGGCCTATGTATCTGCATCGATTCCAGGTATTAGCTTGCTGCAGAGAACTTTTCCTGAGTTCTAGACCATTCAGACTCTAGCTTGTTCTGCTTTTTAATTTCTTTCTATGTTTGTTTTCAATTCTATTTCTAATATTTCTATTTCTATTTGTTTCTATTGTATTTACGTAATGCTTAAGTTCTGAAACTGATGTGATGGTCACTGTATAGATGAATATTAGAAATCAGTCCCTGCTCAGTCTTTCTTACAAGAGGTAGAAGGACAGGGGAAAAAAAAAAGCAGATGTGTGTGGAGGTGAAGTGACTTGCTGTGATTAAGTAAATTCTCAGTGGCACAGCCAGAGGGGAAAAAAATAAATCCCCTTCTACTCTGGTGCTGTTCTCACTTGAGACTACCCACTTCACTTTATGGAGGGGCGATGGGAACTAAAGAAAACAGAGGTTGGCTGTTGAAAGCGACAGAAAGGTGTGTGATATGTGATGGACTGTGAGATTTCCTGCCTGTTTTGTACTTGGACCTTACTGCCTCTTTCTCACTAGAATAGTTTTACTTTCAAGAAATAAGAATATTTGAAGTTAAATCAGACTTTTCTTATCCTTATCCTACAGGAGTTTGTGCTGTCAGAGGTGACGTCTCCAGCAAAGGGCAGTTTGGAGTATCACACCTAGTAGGAGATTGTTGATTGTTGAAGATTTCTGCGGTGGACTTGCACAAAAACCACAGACAAAGTAAAGCTTTAGCTACTGATGTGTGGCGTGATGTTCTAAACTAGAATCATAGAACTGCTAAGGTTGGAAGGGACCTTAAGATCATCAAGTCCAGCCATCAACCTACCCTGACAAAACCACCTCTAAACCATGTCCCTAAGCACCACATCTACCCTTTTTTTTAAACACTTCAGGGATGGCGAATCTACCACCTCCCTGGGCAGCCTATTCCAATGTCTAATAACCCTTTTAGTGAAAAAATATTTCCTAATATCCAATCTAAACCTCCCCTGACATAGCTTGAATCCGTTTGCTCTTGTCCTATCAGTTTTCACCAGGGAGAAGACGTCAGCCCCCGCCTCTCTACAACCTCCTTTCAGGTAGTTGTAGAGGGTGATAAGGTCTCTCCTCAGACTCCTCTTCTCCAGGCTGGACAACCCCAGTTCCCTCAGTTGTTCCTCATAAGGCTTGTCCTCTCGACCCCTCACCAGCTTTGTAGCCCTTCTCTGGACACGCTCCAACACCTCAATATCCTTTTTGTACTGAGGGGCCCAAAACTGAACACAGTACTCGAGGTGGGGCCTCACCAGTGCCGAGTACAGGGGGACGATCACTTCCCTAGTCCTGCTTACCACACTATTCCTGATAGAGGCCACGATGGTATTGGCCTTCTTGGCCACCTGGGCACCCTGCTGGCTCATATTCAGGCGGCTGTCCACCAACACCCCCAGGTCCTTTTCTG